CAAACAAGGCAGCGTTTGCATGGGCTCTGGGCCTTGCTAGACATTCATCAGGCATTTAAGCTATGGCGGAGAGAAGTGAGGGGCTCAGGCTCTGGAGCCAGTGGGTTTAAACTCCACTCTACCACTAACAAGATGTTATTAAAAACTACTGTGTGCCTCAGTTTCCTCACCTGTAACATGGGGATAATAATAGTACCTGCCTCCTGGCTTGTGGAGAGGACGTGCTATATATAGTGCTTACAACAGCACAACACACATATATGGGTAGTTCACAAACATGAATCCATTCAAGGAAACCAACCCTGGGTGCCCTGGGATGGCCGTTGGTCAGAGACACAGAAGCTGAAGCCAGCTTAGGATAAGCAGAGGGGCCCAGGCCTGCCCTTGGCTCCCCTGACCTCACTTCTGTTCCAGGGCTGTTTAGTTACCTGCTCCTAGGCCTGGGAGGCCCAGTGGACAACAGAGTGACCTCTTCTTCACTGATTTGATCTGAATCCATTCTGCTCCGTGAGGGCCCAGATGGGGCAACTGGCATGATATTCACAGAGAGGCGACATCACCCGCTGAAGATCACACAGCAAGTCCCTGGGCCACCTGAATCCTGGCCACAGCTCCACCCTGCTACCCCCTCTCTTAAGTAACACATTAATAAGTGTCTTACCCTCAGACCATTATCTGTGCTGCCTGGCTAGGGAACATTTCTGAAACACATCAAACATTGACAAAAGGAGGTGTTTTTCTGTCCTCGGGCCAGGCCCTTTGGCCTCTGTTAACCAGTGAGTGTCCTCTGTTAATCCTGAGCCCAGCTCCTCCCACACACAAGGACAAACAAGGGCACTGGGCACGGGAGAAACCTGTCCACCAGGGCCAGGAGGGGAGGCGGAAGGTTAGTGGGTCCCCTCCCCCAAAGCAATGCACACAGTTGGGGCTCAATAAGTGCTACTGGGTGGTAGGAATGGAACCAACTGAGGGCACAGGAAGAGAGATCTGCTAAGCAGAGGAGGCCTGACCTGGGCTTCATTGGGTAAAACCAGTCATCATAATAAGTAGCTGGCATTTTGGGAGCTCTTAGTGAGTTCCAGACACTGCCCTGAGCACCGGACATGGTCACTCACTAATGTTTCCATGTTTCACCATCAGTAGGGTGCGTGTGTCGCTCTCCCCAGTCTACGAACAGGAAGCCGAAGGCAAGAGCAATGAAGTCGTTTGCTTAAGTCACACTATTACCAAAAGGCCGAGCTTGGATTCACACCCAGCATCCTGGCTCCAGACCCAAGCACTCAACCACCATGCACCTGTGGGAGTGGGAGGGGTGAAATGTACGAGTGAGGGGTGACTTCTAGGTATTGGCTTGGGGTGGCTGTCCCTTTGATGGATATGCGGGAGGGGCGCAGGTGTCAGGTAGGGTACTGGGGAGCAGGTGGATGAATTGGGTTGGCAGGTGTTGAGTTCCAGATGCCTGGGGATGCTCAGGTGGAGGAGGCAGCAGAGAGGCGGCTTATGGCGCTAAGGCTGGTGAAGGGGGCTGGAGCTGCTCACTCCAGAGTCATCAGTGTAGAAGCGCAGCCTGGGAGACACCTGAGCAATGAAGGGGTAAGGCCACAGCTAAGGCAGGGGAATTGATATTTAGTGTGCAAGGACTCAAAATGACAGCAGGAAGTGTTTTGGAGACCATTATTATTATTATTATTGAGACAGAGTCTCACTCTGTTGCCCAGGCTGGAGTGCAGTGGTGCAATCATAGCTTATTGTAACCTTGAACTCCTAGGCTGAAGTGATCCTCCTGCCTCAGCCTCCTGGGACTCAGCCACCACAACCAGCCAATTTTTAAATTTTTCTGTAGAGATGGGGGGCGGGGGGGCCTCCCTATATTGTCCATGCTGGTCTTGAACTCCTGACCTCAATTAGTCCTCCTGCCTTAGCCTCCCAAAGTGCTGGGATCACAGGAATCAGTCACCACATCTGGCCAAGTGCTATTTTTATTTATTTATTTCATTTCATTTCATTTATTTATTTTTGAGACAGAGGTTTGTTGTTGTTGTTGTTTTTGAGATGGAGTCTCGCTCTGTCACCCAGGCTGGAGTGAAGTAGTGTGATCTTGGCTCACTGCAACTTCCACCTCCTGGGTTCAAGCGATTCTCCTGCCTCAGCCTCCTGAGTAGTTTGGATTACAGGTACCTGCCACACGCCCGGCTAATTTTTTTTTGTTTTTAATACAGATGGGGTTTCACCATGTTGGCCAGGCTGGTCTCGAACTCCTAAGCTCAGGTGATCCACCCGCCTCAGCCTCCCAAAGTGCTGGGATTACAGGCATGAGCCACTGTGCCTGGCCAAGTGCTATTTTTAAATGAATGTTTTCTTTATTTTGAGAATAGATAATAAATGCACAATAAATTCACTCCCAAAGGGTGAAAATTATGTCTCTTACTCTGTCCCCCTTCACCAGTTCTTCTCCCCAGAGACAGCCACTGTCCTCAGTTTCTTCTTTCTTCTTTCTTTTTCTTTCTTTTTTCCTTTTTTTTTTTTTTTTGTTAGAGACAGGGCCTCACTCTGTTGCCCAGGTTGGAGTGCAGTGGCACGATCACAGTTCACTGCAGCCCCAGCCTCCCAGGCTCAAGCAATCTTCCTACTTCAGTTTCCCAAGTAACAGGGACTACAGGTGCGCACCACTACGCCTGGGTAATTAAAAACAAATTTTTTTTTTTTAGAGACGGGGTCTCGCCATGTTGTCCAGGCTTGTCTCAAACTCCTGGGCTTGAGCAATGCTCCTGACTCAGCCTCCCAAAGTGCTGGAATTACAAATCATGAGCCACTGTGCCCGGCCTGTTCCCAGAGAAACAAGAAGGATGTTTCTTGTACATCTTTCCAGGGATATTTAACACACAGGAATAGGTGATCAGGTGTCATGGCTCACGCCTGTAATCCCAGAACTTTGGAAGTGGATTGCTTTGAGTCCAGGAGTTCGAGACCAGCCCAGTCAACATAGTGAAACCCTGTCTGTGCGAAAAATACAAAAAATTAGCTGGGTGTGGTGGTGCGTGCCTGTGGTCCCAGCTGCTCAGGAGGCTGAGATGGGAGGATCACTGGAGCCCAGGAGGTGGAGGTTGCAGTGAGCCAAGTTTGCACCACTGCACTCCAGCCTAGATAGACTGAGATCCTGTCTCAAAAAAAAAAAAAAAAAAAAAAAAAATAGGCATATACTTTCTCCTATAAATGGTAACATATGCACTTTGCATCACCCTGTTTTCTCACTGGACAGTACATCTTGGAGATCATTCCACACTGGTACACACAGGGCTGCCTCACTCTTTTGATTGATGCAGAATATTTCACTGCAGGAATGAAGCATTGTAATGAACAGTCCCCTATGAATGGACCTTTAGGTTGTTTCCCGTATTTTACTATTCCAGCAATGCCACAATGAAGAGCCTTTGGCAGACAGCATTTTGCACATGTGTGAATACGTCTGTAAGGTAAATTCCTAAAAGCAAAATTTCTGGGTCAAAAAAGATGTGCAATCTAAATTTTGATAGCTACTGCCAAATGTTTTTTATTGAAGTTGCTTGATTTGTACTCCTACCAGCAACGTATGAAAGCACCTGTTTCCCCAATGTATTATTTTTTACATTGGTATCTTGCTGTAATTTTAATATGCAGTTCTTTTTTGAGTCAAGTTGAGCACTTTTCATCTTTTTTTTTTTTTTTTTTTTTTTTTTTTTTAGATAGAGTCTTGCTCTGTCACCCAGGCTGGAGTGTGCAGTGCTGGGATCTCGGTTCACTGCAACCTCCATCTCCTGGACTCGAACAATTTTCCTGCCTCAGCCTCCTGAGTAGCTGGAATTACAGGCATGTACCACCACACCCGCCTAATTTTTGTATTTTCAGTAGAGACAGAGTTTCACCATGTTCACCAGGCTGGTCTCAAACTCCTGACCTCAAGTGATCTGCCTGCCTCGGCCTCCCAAAGTGTTGGCATTACAGGCATGAGCCATCGCGCCCGGCTATACATTTAAAAGCCATTTCCTTTTCTGTAAACTGTCCATTGGTATCCTTTGCATATTCAGATAAGCTGGGCATCTTTGCTTAGGAACTATTTATGCAATAAGGAAATTAACCCCTTGTCTATAAAATGAGTTGCAAATATATGGTATTTTTCCCGGTTTGTTGTCTTATGATTTTGTTATTATTACTTTTTTTTTAGATAAACATAAGCCTGTAGCACCTGGTATTTCCAGTCTCCCATACAAGCCCTAACCAGGCTTGGTTTCCAAGATCAGATGCATTCAGGATGGTACAGTTAATTTTTTAATGGAGAATTAGTTGTATTCTTACGGCTTCTGGGTTTCGCACACATAGTGTATCAGTTATCTATTGCTGCATAAAGAATTACTCCGAAATTGAACGGCTGAGAGCAACAGCAGTCAGTGCATTATCATCTTTTATGGTTCCGGGGTTGACTGGGCTCTGGGCTCAGCCAGTGATTATCCTAAAGGCTCTTTTGTGCGGTTGTAGCTGTAGTCACATAGGAGTTGGCCTGGAGTCATCCGAAGGCTTCCTCACTCACATCTCTGGTCATTGAGCTGGCTGTCAGCTGGGCCCCCGGCTGTGCTGTCGGCCTGAACACCTACACATGACCTCTCTGTGTGTCCTGGACTTCCTCACAGCCTGGAACCTGGGTTTCTACCCTGGGCCAACCCAAGACACAGAAAAAGTAGGGGCTTTCAGTCTCTTAAGGCCTGAGCCTGTGGAAACAGGTCCCTGAGCGTGTACAGAAACCAGGGGTCCCATGAAGTCTTGGAGAAGATACTGCCCCTCTCCCCCGGGGCCCTGATTCCCCAGTGGCACGAGGCACACACCCCCTGCCGCCCCCCCACACACAAGGACACTGTGTAGGGTCACTGTGACTGTCAGCCCCCGAGCACGCGCAGTCACAGCCCAGCCGCAACCGCGCACTCCCGCAGGCGAAGCCACACCCCCCTGCGCACGTCGCGCGGCGTTTCTCCCGCCCACTCCAGCCTGGCCCCGCCCCGGTCCAGGTCCATTCCAGGGTCAGATTCCGTCCTGCCAGGTCTGAGTCGGCGGCTGCAGGGCGGATGAGACCGGTGCTACTCATGAAGGTGTTCGTCACCCGCAGGATACCGCCCGAGGGCAGGGCCGCGCTCGCCCGGGCGGCAGAGTAAGAGCCCCGCGCCCCGTGGGGGAGGGGCGGGGCGGTCCCGGGGACCGGAGAGCCGGGCGGGGCGTTTGGGCCTTGTGGCTGGCTGGGGCGGGCTTGGAGTTTTGGGGAGGCTCGGAGAAAGTTCTCTGGGGCCCAGTTCTCTCCAGGACTCTTAAGACGAAGCTGGGACCTGCAGTTCCGGCTTTGGAGAGGGGAGATTGCTTCTGAGGCAAGGTCCAGGCTAATTCTCCACGCTCCCACAGGGCACGTGGGCTCAGGGATGTGGCGGTCACTGACCTGGCCCCTCGGACGTTTGGCAGGGGCCTTTGATGACTCTCTTTCTTTATGTTTACTTATCTTTATTTATTTATTTTTTTGAGACAGTCTCACTCTGCTGCACAGGCTGGAGTGCAATGGCTCGATCGCTCGTGGCTCACTGCAGCCTCGACTTCTTGGGCCCAATTAGTTCTCCCGCCTGAGCCTCCCGTGTAGCTGGGACTACAGGTGCAGACAATCACCACCGGCTAATTTTCTGATTTTTTTGTAGAGATGGGGGTCTCTGTTGCTCCAGCTGGTCTCAAATTCCTGGGCTCAATCGATGCTCCTGCCTCAGCTTCCCAAAGTGTTGTAATTACAGTGTGAGTTACCATGACCGGCCTGAGGACCCTTTTAATTAATTATTTTTAAGACAGGGTCTCACTATCATCCAGGCTAGAGTGCAGTGGCGCAATTATACCTCACTGCAGCCTCAGCCTCCTGGACTCAAGCGGTAACTTCTACTTCAGCCTTCCAAGTAGCTGGGACTACTACAGGCATGCGCCACCATGCCTGGCTAATTTTTTATTTTCTGCAGAGACGAGGGTCTCACTGTGTTGCCCAGGCTGGTTTTCAACTCCTGTACGAAGGGATCCTCCCACCTCAGCCTCCCAAAGTTCTGGGATTACAGGCATGAATCACTGCACCTGGCCCACCCTTGCTAAATGGAACCCTTTTTGTGGGCCAGCCTTACCAGGTGCTTCATATACATAAACTTTTAATCCTGGCAGCACTGTTAAAAACTGATTAAAAACTGGAGGCTGGACTTAGGGTTAAGTTCCTTCCCAAAGCCACGCAGCTCCCAGGTGGAGGAACTCCTGGGAGTTCTGCATCTGACTGCTGTCTGATCACTGCATTTGATCAGATTTGTGTTTCCAATGTTAGATAGGAAGAGGATGCAACCCCGCCTCAGCAGCCAGTTCTAGGGGGGCAGATGAGATTTTCACATTTTGTTCATTGCAACAAAACCTTTGCCAAGGACCCACTTTGTAGAGCAGGAGAAGGCGGAAGGCAGCAGCTGCGCTCGTGGTAACAGTAGCTCACACTGTATCCTGCTCATGGGGAGGTGGATGAAGTGGTCCGTGGCCCGGGCTCGGTCAGGAGGTGTGAGTAGCTATCCTGTGTCCTGCCACATAGAGGCTCCACACGTGCTGGCTGTGCTGAATTCCATGGCAAGGGCCAGGAGGCATGGTGCACCACTGGGTCAAATACCGGTTCCCGTGAGCTGCCGTGGAAGCGTTGGGTGGCCTTGACCTTATCTGTCCTGGCCCAGTCCAACTATGAGAGTTTTCTATTTCATGGACTCCACGGACAGGAAGAGATGCAACAGGCCATTGAATCCAGGCCCCCCACCTGAGGCACAACCTGCCCTTCACGGGTCTTCCCTGCAGTTGGCTGCCCGCTTGGCTGCCCAGCCCTTGCGAGTGTGGGAAAGCTCTTTTCTGTGCTGACCTGAAAGCTGTCCCCATGCCTTCCCCTTGCAGCTTAGGCGCTGCTCGGGGGCCCTTCAGCCCTTCACCTGTCACCTGTTCTCTCGGGACAGTTCTGAGGCCACCCCTGCCTGACCCTGCCTCCCCTCAGCCAGCCCCGGGCAGCCTGAGGCCAGGGCCATCAGAGGCCAGGGTTCCCAGCTGGGAGAGGCAGGGACAGGTGTGCGGCTCCTGCTTCTCCTGAGGGCCTCCCTTTCCCCGCAGCTGTGAGGTGGAGCAGTGGGACTCGGATGAGCCCATCCCCGTCAAGGAGCTGGAGCGAGGTGTGGCGGGGGCCCACGGCCTGCTCTGCCTCCTCTCCGACCGTGTGGACAAGAGGATCCTGGATGCCGCAGGTGCGCGCTGGGTGGGCAGGGGACTCGAGGGTGGCTTGGCCCTGTGGGCCCCTCAGCCTGCGCCACTGGCTCCTGGGCTGCTCTGCAGTGCTGTCTGGGTTCTGAGGGCGTTTCCTGCGATACCAGGCCTAAGTGGGCAGATAGCTTGCTCTGGCACAGGCACTGCCCCTCCCTCCTGCTGTGAACCCCTTGGCGGGGGGGCCCTGGGAAGGCAAAGACCGTGGTGTGGAGACTGTGGGTGTGGGGAAGAGCATCCAAGGCCCTGGGTTCTCCAGCCCTGCCACAACCTTGCTCTGTGACCTCCAGCAAGACCCTGGCCATTCTGGGCCTGTGCGTAGTGTGAGGGAGGACCCAGCTCAGCGCCAAGCTCCAGCGGGATGTCTTCCCACAGCCACAGCCATGGCTCTCAGCCCGTGGAAGGATCAGCCTCCCCCTGCGAGGCTGTTGTGACAGTTTTGAGAAAAGGTTCAGACTCGGGCTGCCAGATGGGAAGGGACCCTTGTGAGTCAGTGCTGAGCCATCCCGTGCCCTGGCCTTGGCCTGGAAGCTTTCTTGTGTCCTGCTTGGAGAGGGTAGAGAGGGTCGCGTCCCAGCCACCACCTTGGCACTCTCAGAGGTGTCCATGGGGGAGGCCCCAGTATGGCTGAAGGAGACCCAAGACCTCACTGGGTGGACAGCCCAGTGGGTAAGAGCGGGGCCTTGGTGGCAGAGGCCCTGAGGTGAACCCAGCTCTGCCTGTGACTGAGCCAGGCCACTTCACCTCCCTGAGATGCAGTGTCTGAGGCTGTCAAAGGGGATTATTCAGAGTTTTAAGTGAAGAACAGAGATGTCAGCCTCTTATTCTAAGAAAACAATAATAAGCGGTGTCCCCATGATAGTCCCCAGTGCTGTGGCTTTGAGTTCCTCGAGGAAAGATACTAACAAAGCACTTTCTGCACAACAGGGGCCAATCTCAAAGTCATTAGCACCCTGTCCGTGGGCGTCGACCACTTGGCTTTGGATGAAATCAAGAAGCGGTAACTGCAGCTTGGGATCTGGAGGGGGCCTAGCGAGAGGGGTGGGTATGAGAGAAAGAAAGAGGAGCTGTTGATTTGTTTTTACTTCATATCCCTTGGCCATTCAGGGAGAGTGTGAGGTGGCTGATGATAGAATCTGTCCATATGTGCACAGGTCAGTTACAATAAACCCCAGCGGTCAGAAACAGTGGGTAACTTCTGTGTAGGTGGCACCTTTTCACATTCATTATCTTTTTTGATCCCCACAACAATACCTTGAAGTACCGAAGGCAGGTATTATTCTTTCTTTCAGATGAGGAAATTCAGAAAGGTTAAGTTACTTCTTCAGTCCTTGAACCCTAATCTTCCATCTTCATATCCTTCCAAAGTGGGAGATAATCTAAATAGGAATGAGGACTGACCGTTTTTGAGTGCTCATTTATAGTTCTGAGCTTCCTGGCAGGCAGATCAAAGAGGGAACAAAGTAACTCCATGGAAAGGTCACAGCAGTAGACATCAGTAAAGGTGGTTGAGGCTGATGTTACCACCACATGTTTGATTCGTAGTGGGATCCGAGTTGGCTACACCCCAGATGTCCTGACAGATACCACCGCCGAACTTGCAGTCTCCCTGCTACTTACCACCTGCCGCCGGTTGCCAGAGGCCATCGAAGAAGTGAAGAAGTAAGTGAATGCAGGCCAGGCGCGGTGGCTCACGCTTGTAATTCTAGCACTTTGGGAGGTTGAGGTGGGCGGATCATGAGGTTAGGAGTTCGAGACCAGTCTGGCCAACACAGTGAAACCCTGTCTCTAGTAAAAATACAAAAAAAATTTAGCTGGGTGTGGTGGCGGGCCCCTGTAATCCCAGCTACTTGGCAGGGTGAGGCAGGAGAATCATGTGAACCCAGGAGACAGAGGTTGCAGTGAGCTGAGATCACGCCATTGCACTCCAGCCTGGGTGACGGTGTGAGACTCCGTCTCAAAAAATAAAAAAATAAATAAGTGAACGCCTGGCAGGAACATTGGCTCTGCTCAGCACTGGATCCTGATCACCGGTGCCAGTCTGGCCCACGCATAGTCCCTGACCCCAGGTGTGCCCCATTGAGTGAGGACTCAGCTAAAATAATTAAAGCACAAGGCAGAGCTGCAATAAAGGCAGGAAGGGAAGTGGTGAGAGAAGAGGATGAGGGAGGACAAACAAGTTCTGCTGGTGGGTGAGGGATAGCCGGGAGAGCGTGGATCAGGGAGCGCTTCACAGAATAAGTAGCAGGTGGGCGTCAGCTTGAGTCCTGAAAGCTGCAGGTCCACGGTCCCTTAGGTGCCAAAAATCTAAAAACGTCGGACAGCTGAAAGTTCTTTCATACTAACAGGAGACTATTTAAGGCTTTTAAGGCTTTTATTTCTCCCACTTAATGTGACTTTGCTAAGTTTTGCTGTAGACGTAACACTGTTTAAAACAGGGTGCTGCCCAGACGCTGCAGAAGGTGATGTGTGGAGTCTACCACCTGCGCCATGCTGCCATTTTAAAGGCCAAACAATTTTAAAATCTAGCCTGAAGGTTTCAGATCAGGGACTTCGGCCTGTATATCAAGAGTTAGAGTGGGCCGGGTACGGTGGCTCACACCTGTAATCCCAGCACTTTGGGAGGCCGAGGCGGGCAGATTGCTTGAGCCTCAAGAGTTAGAGAACAGCCTGGGCAACATGGCAAAACCCTGTCTCTACGAAAAATACAAAAATTAGGCAGGTGTGGTGTTACACGCTGTAGTCCCAACTACTCACTCGGGAGGCTGAGGAGGGAGGGTTGCTTGAACCCGGGAGGCAGAGGCTGCAGTGAACTGGGATCATATCACTGTACTCCAACCTGGGCGACAGAGCAAGACCCTTTCTCAAAAAAAAAAAAAGCTGGGGGAAGCATTCCATGTGCAGATGGAGGGACTGGCCTGAGTCATGGTGGAAGGTGTGCAAACGCGGGCTGTCAGTGTGTGACCAGCAGTGTGGGCCCCGGCACGGGGCGTGGAGCAGAGTAGACAGTGCTGAGTCCTGCTCACTGTCCTGTCTGGGGAGTCAGCATGTCTACGGGAGGTGGCTCAGGGCAGGCTCCGTCTCTTGCCCAAGGCAGCAGCATGGGCCCTGTGGCTGTACTCTTTGTTGCTGCCCTAAAGTGCCAAGAAAACTTGTTTTGGAATCGTAAATCCTGAGTTTGCAGCCTGTTGCTCTCATCTCTCTCCGGTTGTGTGACCTCAGGTAGGTCACCCTGTCTGGTTGGTTTTCCCATCTGCAAAATAGGATGAGAGCCAGTAAGGCCCCTTCCCGCCCTCAAGTTCTGTGTCCCTAGTGGCTTTAAAGGAGGAGTCGTTGCTGCTGCTCGTCTGCAGCGCTGAGGGGCGGTGCCTCATCCCACTCTCAGTCCCTGACCTGGAGGATGGGTTTGTACCTTGGACCACAGTCAGAGGTGCTGGGTTCTCAGTGGCCCCTCATCTTGGCCCAAGGCTGGGCTTCTCACCTGCCACTCTCTCTCCCCTAGTGGTGGCTGGACCTCGTGGAAGCCCCTCTGGCTGTGTGGCTATGGACTCACGCAGAGCACTGTCGGCATCGTCGGGCTGGGGCGCATAGGTGAGGCCCCCACCTGCCCACTTGCCCGCCCTGGCTCTCACAGCTGTGGTTTGCATCCCTGGCACCAAGTGTCTGAAGGCTGAGAAGACCCACATGCTGTCAGGGCACTTTGCCTGCAGTAGAGGTATCTCTAGTGAGGGTTACAGTTTTGTAAAACACAGGCAAATACATAAATAAACCAAAGCAGGAGTTCCTTAAGAACTCACTAGTGATAAAAGCAAGCTGCCTGAGGGTCAGGAGGCTTCATGATTCCAGCTCCATAAAGAACAGATGAAGACTACAAATGCTGTGTTGGGGCCCTTAGGAGTGGTTACTGTGAGAGAGCCCATTCCCCCGACACCTACTCCAGCTTTGGTTCTGGAAGGTTTGTGACTCACGAAGCCCTAACTCGGGCCAGAGGGCTCAGTGGGCAGAGTTGATCTGCAGTTCTGCAGATGAGGCAGAGCCACTTTTCTTCCAGTGGCCGTTATTTGGAGAAGCCTGGCAGAAGGGCTTGGGCCTAGCCAAGCAGCTATCTATTGGGATTCTCTGTCATCCTGCCTGGTGCAGGGGTGCAGGTGAGGGTGGAGAGTGTGGAGAAACTGTCTAACCAGTGAACAGCCCTGCCTCTCACTAGAGAGTTGCTTGGAGGAACCCAACAGCTTTGAGGCACGTTCTGAGCCTGAAAATCCAACTGCACAAATCTGCCTCAGCAGCAGCGTACGTGAAAAGTGTCAGTCTGGGGTGAGCTGGCAGTTTGGCAGTGCCACCAAAAGTCAAATGGAGTCTGAGACTGCATTCACAGAAGCAGAGGGTCCAGGATGAAGGAGGGGACGGCTTGACGAGGCGTCTCCTTTATGAAAACTCTCTCCAGTTCTCAGAGGTTAGGAAAAACCTGAGTGGCTTTCCAGATGGCTTGGACCATGTGAGGACAGCATCAGCCAGTGACAGCCTCAGGGGAGCTGAGGTGCTGTCTCCAGATCCCTGGGGCAGTGCGGGCTGGCTGGGGGCTGGTTACGGTGGGGCAGCCAGCCCCCCACCCACTTTGGGGGAGACAGGAGCAGGCAGCTCTGGGGCTGTGCTGATGAAAGGGTCTGCCCTGAGGGCCGCTGTCCCGGAGCTGCTGGGTGGCGCCCCTGCCCTCTGCGGGACTGGGAACGAGACGCGGACTCTCCTTGCTCTAGGCCAGGCCATTGCTCGGCGTCTAAAACCATTTGGTGTCCAGAGATTTCTATACACAGGGCGCCAGCCCAGGCCTGAGGAAGCAGCGGAATTCCAGGCAGAGTTTGGTAAGTGAAGCTTGATTTCCACAGGAGCCTATCTGTGCCCAGTTGAGAGGCAGTATTTTCTCTCAATGGTGGCATTTTCAGGCCGAGGGCAGGAGCTCCAGTCATGTCCAGGGGCTGCTGTGTCTGGTAGATGTTTAATCTGCCTGCCCCTGGACACAGGCCCACTCAAGGGGCACAGGGACTTACCCAGGTCCTCTCCGTGCCAGCAGAGCAGTCCAGGGCCCCTGTCTTTCAGCGTCCTGTGTTGCCATCCACATTGTGGGCGGAGCAGTGGGGATGGTGATGGGTGTGAGGAAGGGCTGGGCACTTGCACTCGCTTTTCCTTCATCAACTGGCAAGCACTACCCTAGCCCCTGTGTGCTTTAGTCCGGGCGGATCCAGCCCCTGGCGGGTCCACAGCCTGGTGAGCAGAAGGCAGGCTGGATCTCAAGCATTCCCCACGCCCCTGGACACTTTGGGCCCTGAAGGTGATTAAAGCCAGAGTGGTCCAGGTCCCACTGTGTGTGATTTGACTTTGTACACTCATGAGAGTTGTCCAGGTAGAGACTCGGCCTTCAGGAAGCATCTTGGGAGTCTCTGTTATGGGAGTCGGGAGCAAGGGGCTGGTTTCCCACCATCTGGTTGTCCCCAGCCTGGGACTCAGTGCCTGATGGAGTCCTGCCCTCCCTCAGTGTCTACCCCTGAGCTGGCTGCCCAGTCTGATTTCATCGTCGTGGCCTGCTCCTTAACGCCTGCAACCAAGGGACTCTGCAACAAGGACTTCTTCCAGAAGATGAAGGAAACAGCTGTGTTCGTCAACATCAGCAGGTATCCTAGGGCCACCTTACCCAGCAATCCTGGACAGGAGCCGTCCCCACTGCTGCCATCTGGAGATTTTCTTCCCCGTGGGTGGTTGATGAGACCCCAGGCTGAGCTTGCCGGTTTCCATAAACCAAACAACCAACTCAGAAATTCATGGGAATACACGAGAGCTCCGCACCGTTGGAGTTGGCCTAGCCTGCCTGCTTCTCAGCAGTGGCCCCTGCCTGACAGGGCCTGGCACACAGCAGGGTGGCTTCAGGGAGTGTTCCCAGGGAGCCTTGGCAGGCCCATTGTCCTCAACCACAAAGGGCCGGACTTCAGGATCTGAAGGGCCCTCTGGAGGCCACCTCCCACACTGCTGAGCCTGGCTTTGGCTGGCTGTGGTTCAGTGATATTTTGAATCTTACCCCCTGGGCAGACAGACCCTAAAACTCACGTGGTTGTAGTTCCTCACACTGTCCCTAGGGCTGCCGTCAGGCCACTGAGCACGTATGGGGGTCAGACCTTCCTTCTCTGCCACTCCATGCCCTTCCTAGCTGGTCCCCCTTGAGCCTGTTTACGTAAGTTTAGGGGAAGGGGGATTGGGTGAGGTCACCCTGAGGACTTATCCACCCCAAAGGTACCTGTAATTACCAATGTTTAGCTACAAAACAGGTAACCCGGGAATGGAAGAGTGAAACATGCAGGACCACAGGACTCGCACTGCTGGCTGGCACCAGTCATAGCTGCCGTGTACCGGGTGCCTGTGTGTACCCAGGACAGCCCAGGACCTTGTATTACTTAGTGCACAATATACAGTCTCTAGAAGATCAGTTCTTGACTTCAGTGGCCGCTGCCTTTGATGGATGTGGTTAGGGGTGTGCTCATTCCTCTGCTCTGGTTTAGGCAGGTGCCTGATAGCACACTGTGGTGCTTCTCAGTGGGGTCTGGGGGCCAACCAGATCAGAAACACTTGGATGGGGCCTAACAGATGCCCTTCTGGGCCCTGTTCATGCAGTAGAGCATGTAAGAAAGCTTTAATCCTCCCAACATGCCTGGGAGTTAGGTGGTATTCTCCTTATGTCACAGAGCAGATAATTTGAGGCACAGAGAATTGGAGAAACTTGCCCAAGGTCACACAGCTAGGAGGAGGCAGGGCTGGAGTTCTCTGAGTATGTAAGACTGACAGACATACTATAAGTATACCTAAGACTTAGTGCTTTAAAAGTCAGTGCCAAGTGCCAGGTGAGTGGAAAAATTCATTCTGTAGGTTGTTCTGCCTCAAAGGTGGCCTGGGCGGAGAGATCTTCATCGTACCCATGTCACCACTGTCATTCCCAGGGGCGACGTTGTAAACCAGGACGACCTGTACCAGGCCTTGGCCAGTGGTCAGATTGCAGCTGCTGGACTGGATGTGACGACCCCAGAACCACTGCCTACAAACCACCCTCTCCTGACCCTGAAGAACTGTGGTAAGAACCGCATTTTCTGATGCAAACTCCCTGCTGCCCTGCAGGACCAGTGTTTTCGAGGGGGTCCTGAGGGGCCGGGTGTGCAGCTAGTGTGAGCAAGTGCTGAACCCAAAGGGACACACCAGGAACTGTAAATGTTTACACTGTTAGTGACATGGGTGTATGACAGGAGCAGTCCTCTTGAGCATGTTCTTCTGGGTCTCTGTCCCTAAAGGAACAGAGTGTAGGTGTGAGAGGATTTGTTTTAGGAAAAAAAAAAAAGAGTGGGTCGGGTGTGGTGGCTCACACCTGTAATCCCAGCACTTTGGGAGGCTGAAGTGGGCAGATCACGAGGTCTGGAGTTTGAGACCAGCCTGGCCAATATGGTGAAACCCCATCTCTACTAAAAATACAAAAATTAGCCGGGTATGGTGGTGTGTGCCTGTAGTCCCAGCTGTTTGGGAGGCTGAGGCAGAAGAATCGCTTGAACCTCGGAGGTGGAGGTTGCAGTGAGCCGAGATTGTGCCACTGCACTCCAGCCTGGGTGACAGAGTAGACTCCATTTCAAAAACAACAACAAAGTGGGCTGACTACATGTCTACATGTGTTACACCACAGTGACTCATGTGTAAAACCTGTTACTCTAAATTGCTATTACCAGTTTAGGTGTGAAAAATTAAAAGTGTAATGACAATGCCAATATTTATAACTCGGCCAGTTTTTCAAGCTGTTGTTTCACAACAAAGCCCCCTTCTCTCTTCTGCTTTGTGGGGCTGGGGCCAGGCCTCTGCACACCCCATTTCTGCTGTGCCAGCTGCACTGGCAGGCCCTCACAGTGTGGGTGTGGAAGGGCCTGCTTCCTCCTGCCCTCCCTTCCTGTCTTTGGGGGAGTGGCAGCAGCACTTCTTAACCTCACAGTACCAGTTTGCTCCCCATAGTGGCTGGGGAATCCAATTTGCAGTTTTTCCAACACTTGGTGAACCAGTCGCACTGAGCCCCACTCAGAGATAAAAGCAACAGCCAGTCAGTGCCCCGCCACAGAAGTCTGAGTTGCAGCACTAGAAGTGCCTCCAGTAGTTGCTACCTCTGTGCTACCATAGTGCAATGGTTCTCATATAATTTTGAGACAGTGTCTCGCTCTGTCGCCCAGGCTGGAGTACAGTGGTACAATCTGAACTCACTGCAACCCCCGCCTCCTGGGTTCAAGCAATTCTCCTACCTCAGCTTCCCGAGTAGCTGGGATTACAGGCGTGCACCACCAGGCCCAGCTAATTTTTGTATTAGAGATGGGGTTTGTCCATGTTGGCCAGGCTGGTCGCAAACTCCTGACCTCAGCTGATTCACCTGCCTTGGCCTCCCGAAGTGCTGGGATTACAGGCATGAGCGCCCGGCAGCTCCTGGCCAATTCTCATACTTTTGTGTTCGTCAGAATCTCCTGGCGGAGTGACTGATCACACACAGGTTGCTAGCCCCATCCTGAGGGTTTCTATTTCAGCAGGTCTGGGGTGGGGTCTGAGAGGGTGCTCCTCACTGCTCCCAGATGCCACTCAGGCTGCTAGTCCTGGGACCACACTTTGTGGTTTGGATTTTTGTCACCTGTTCAGTTAGTGACAATAACTTTATGCATAATGATTCTTTATATTAAGATCTGCTCAGGTAGCTGGTGGAGTTTATGCCTCCAGACTAACAGAGTGATCAGGGCCTTAGGTTGTCTGTGCCAGTCTCTGTCTTTAATTTGCATTCTGGAATGGACACTTAAACAAAAGGTCTTTAGCTGCTTTCCCCAGTGAATGCTCCCATTATCGCAGCCCTTGGAAACTCTCCCGTCCCTCCCCCCACCCCAGCCTGCAAGGAGCACTGGGTGTGATGTCAGGGCTGTCGCCCACAGCCAGGAAAACTGCCCTCCCACCCCTACCCCAGGTCCTGGAATTCAGCTCAGGGCCCCCGGACTGCTTCAAAAGATAGTTCTTGGTCTGAGGAGAGGGCGGTCAGGGCATGAAGCTGCAGTCGCCGCTGCTGTTTCTGCAAAATCTAAGCACTGGGCTGCAGCCATGTCCTACTGCCAGCAGGAAGGGAAGGATCCAATCATATTTGTGATGAAAAAAGACCATGCAGCTCCAAGCAACGCAGCTGATGACCCCAGTGATCCCTATGAGGGGAGCACGGATTGAGGCTGCTAAATGGAGACATTAACTGGAACTGCCTGTGCCTTGGGGGAACGGCCAGTGGCCCCTGTGGGAAACAATTCAAACTGGACTTTTCCTGCTCCCACTATAGTATGGAGAATGTCAAGGGGTCAGGCTGTGTAGACCAGTTGTGGGGCCATGCAGGAATGCATGCAGAAATACCCAGATCTTTGTCCCCAAGAAGGTGAGGAAGAGGTAGAGGAAAAGCCCGCAGAACATGTAGAAGCAGCAGCTCCCACTGAGGCCACTGCAACCAAAGAGGAGGGGTCAAGTTAATGAAGGCCATAGGACTCCAGACCTTCCACCCCTTCAGAGTGACACGGACCTTTCACAAAATGCCATTTAGTCACCCCAACAGTGTTTTTTCCTCTGTTGTCCTGTAAACTGTAATGTACAAAATAACGTATTTTGATGATCGGGGGCTTGGCCTCTTGACATATACACTGAAAAAAATGGGGGTTGTTTATATGTGTCCTGTGTAAACCTGTCGGCAAATGTAGCCACCACTTTTGAATTCTCCTAGATGGCCCTTAATTTTGCCACTTTGAAATAATGTGCTACTCAATCTCAGCAACCAAAAACCATTATCCGGGAATGTTTCTTATGAGTGAGCAGATTTATTCTGATTCATTGTATGTCTAAAATGTTGGGATGGGGCTGGTTAGGATGGCTCATGCCTGTAATCCCAGCACTTTAGGAGGCCAAGGCAGGAGGATCACTTGAGACCAACAGTTCGAATCTAGCCTGGGCAACATAGTGAGACCCCATCCCTATAAAAAATTAAAAATTAGCCATGTGTGGTGGTATGCACCTCTAGTTCTAGCTGCTCAGGAGGCTGAGGTGGGAGGATCGCTTGAGCCTAGGAGGTTGAGGCCGTAGTAAGCTGATTGTGCCATGACACTCCAGCCTGGGCAACAAAGCAAGACTGTCTCAAAAATTCTCTACTAGAAGAGGCCAAATGGTCAGATGCAAATTTCTCCAAACCCATCCTGACCTTGAGTATGTATAGGGTTACTATATTCCTGACATATTTTGGTTTCCATGTTGGCATTGAGCTCCCAGTTTTCTATTTGGATGGTGAAAATTTGGACCCTGTCATTCACGGTTCCTTCCTAAGTGTAGGGAAAGGCTGGTTTTTGCTATTCTTTGTTATTCTGAAAGCTCTGGTTTGGGGTCCATGTTCATGCTGGCTCTCAGTTTGATCAGATGCAATGTTCTTGAGGGGTGGGGATCTAATTACCAGAGAGGAGAGGAAACTGTGAATTAAGTACTCAATTATGGCTGGGCGCGGTGGCTCACACCTGTAATCCCAGCCCTTTGGGAGGCCGAGACAGAATCACTTGAGGCCAGGAGTTCAAGACTCGCCTGGGCAACAAAGACCCCATTACAATGATGATGAATTTAAAGAAGAAAACGTACTCAATTAAAAGGAAACATGATTTCTACCTGGAAAAAACCCAAAAGCAGTTTTGTGGGGTTTATTTGGTAAAGATGATGTATCGCTGTGTGGCCCAGGCTGGCCTCAAACTCTTGGGCTCAAGTGACCCTTGCACCTCAGCCTCTGGAGTAGCTGGGACTACAGGAATATGCCACTGCACCCGGCTGACAGTTCTTTGGAGGCAAGTAACTTCACTTGGTCTGGGGTGGCACAGAGATAACTGTGCTGTTCAGCATTTCATTTTGGAGTTATTTCTGTAGATCAGTAGGTCATGTGGCATCATTTTCAGGTGCACATGGTACAGGTGCATAAATTGGCACCCAGGTTCACCTTTTTTTGTTTTGCGAGTCTCCCTCTGTCATCTAGGCTAGAGTGCAATGGTACGATCTCAGCTTACTGCAACTTTTGCTTCCAAGGCTCAAACAATCCTCCTGCCTCAGCCTCCCAAGTAGCTGGGTCTATAGGTGTGGGCCACTACACCTGGCTAAATATTTTTATTTTTTGTAGAAATGGGGCTTCGCCATGTTGCCCAGGCTGGTCTCGAACTCCTGAGCTCAAGTGATCTGCCTGCCTTGGCTTCCCAAAGTGCTGGAATTACAGGCATGAGCCACTGCACCTAGCCCTAGAATACAAGTATTTCATCACATTGTGACTGGGTTTTAGTAGCCTGGAGGCCCTTCACTCTATTAGTCTGAACCTTAGCTCTGGGGGAGTGTCATGCTTAGTGACCAAGGGAGAAAAGGCAAGGCATGGAACCATGAGGTAGTCTCTATTCTTACTGGCAAACCCAAGCCATGAAAACAGCCCAGCTGAAGGCTGCTGAACCACCCTTATCTTCCTCTCTCTCTCCTTTCCAGTGATCCTGCCCCACATTGGCAGTGCCACCCACAGAACCCGCAACACCATGTCCATGTTGGCAGCTAACAACCTGTTGGCTGGCCTGAGAGGGGAGCCGATGCCCAGTGAACTCATGCTGTAGCCAAACAGTAGAGATGGAGGGCCAGGAGGCAAACCGTACCCTGGTATTCTGTCAGACGTACCCAGGCTTGATTTGGATCCACAGGCAGAGCCAAGGGAAAGTCTGATTCTCCGACGAAAGAGTGATTCTGATAGGTGTACTTGTCACATTGGTGGCTGGACACACTTGAGCCAAAAGTGTGTAATTCTATTATTAAATAATTCTCTGAGAGACCGTCTTGGCCTGTAAATGGGGAAGCTAACAAGTGTGTATGGCTGGGCATGGTGATGCACCTCTATAGTCCCAGCAACTCAGCAGGCTGAGTGGGAAGGATCTTGAGGCCAGTTCAAGGCTGCAGTGTGCTATGATCACTCTTTAAATCGCCACTACACTTAGCCTGGGCAATGTAGCAAGGACCTGTTTCTAAAAAAACTTTTAAAATACAAAGAGCATCTGTTTGAAAGTCACAGCATCCAATGATCTGCCTGGCTCTGCTTCCCACCCCAGCCCTCAGCCCTGGGCATTTTCCTTATTGGAACCTGTCCAAACCACCTTACGCCTCATCATCTCTGCCCAGATTCCTTCACTTGTCCCTCACCAAGGACGGGACAAGCAGAACCCAGTTGTGACCACGGCACTTGAATCTGATACCTAGACCATCAGGAAAATTAAAGAGCCCTTCCAGAAAAGGAGTTAACTGGAAGAAATGAGAACTAGGTAAGGACGTTTAACACTCTTATTTTGGTCAAGAACAATTAGCGGTAGGTGGATTTAATTTTAAAATCAGTTTCAGCACCTACACATGGTTCCCTTTGCCCATCCTGTCCCCCCAGCCCCTCCCTGCCCCCAGGTGGATGGTTTTTTTTTTAAATCACCACCTTACCCCCTCCTCTCCAAGGTCAGGCCACAGCACTGCCATTGCCAAAGCCCTGCTCTGTGCTCAAGGAATCAGCTTCCAGAACTGGCAGATGGAGTTTCCAACTTGAGAGGCAGGTCCAGGGAGCAGCACAAGATTAGGCAGGCCCTCGGAGAGCAACTGGGTAGACTGAAAGCAAAATCTCATGCATGTGCATAGCTCAAAGACAGAAAAGGAAGGCGGGGGAAGGCAGAAGGGAATGATTTGAGGGGAATGACCAGTTAACTTACTAGGTTTGGTTTAAAACAAAGTACTAGTCAAAGAAGGGCTGGCAAAAAGATATTACCCTCTTTTGTTTCAACCTTAATAACCGAAAGAAAAATAACATATTTAGAGGCATGAATATGACAAATTTTTTATTTCAAAATCTCAAGCTGTAACCAGCATAGCACCACTGACATGGATGCATTGATAGAACTCTATGATCTGATCACCAGAAAAGATTCTACATGATCACGCCAGACTATAATTAAGGCTAACCAATCAAAATTCAGGTACCCAATACCAGTTATAATCCAGGTAGAAACTACAGATCATAGGAACCCTGGGACTGGTTTTCCAGGGAACCCTGGAATTATTTTTTAAGTGCTACAGCATGTACAAGGACACTGGCCCACAAGCTAGCTTCTCACACGTAGAAACTGACCGACTAAGAGGTAGATGAGAGATTCCAGGTTCCATCTAGCAGTGGAGAGGCAGGGCTCCAGCATGTATCAGAGATAAGCCCCAAAAGCAAAGTCCACTTATGCTTCAGCAGAGGTGAGCGGGCAGGCTCCTGGCACCACCTCCTCCAAAGGGAAGGGAAGGAGGGCTGCACTGCTCTCCCTGTGTCACTGGCTCCTCTCCCTGGGTCCAGGTGGGGCCTCTCGTTTTCTCCAGGCTAACCCACTGTGTCCCAAGGTTAATCTCACAAGACACTGGTCCCTACATCATGTAAAGGGTGGATGGGGAGCCTCCTAATACTATGTCAACATGACTGCTAACAGGGAGCCACACACACAACTGAATTTCACAGGACCCCATATCCTCCAATGGGCTCTTTCCCACGTCTACTCGAAAGGAATCGCGGGTTTCCCTTTGGCCTTTTCTTCCTGGGAATCAGTCCATGGGAGATGCCAAGCCCCGCTGGAACATGAAATTATCCACAGATGTGTAACTGCATACTCTAACAGGAGAGAAAACACGCTTATTTTTGTTTCCAGCTACTCATACTTAGCTTTCTAAACACAAAAACTGAATAATTTATCTGAATTATGCATGATGGTTTGGTATCTCTAAGAAAGCATATAAAACATAAACTCATGTTCGTGCATGAATTAAACTGACTTCATGAGTCCTAGGGAGATGCATTAACCTGTGCTGTTCCCCTGGACGCACACTTGGCCTCACACAGGTGCCACTAACAGCCCCGATGGCACAGTGCCAGAGGACAGCAAGGTGAGGCTGGGGAAGTGAGGATGCAGGGCCCAGAGAGGACCTGGGCAGTGACCCGAGTGCCTCCAACAGTCTCAGATGCTACTTGATTACTTCTATGCTATGGGCTGTCAACTCTTAAACAGGCTAGAAAATATTTACCCATGCACTACCATGTTTGGATTTCAAACAATTTTAAACATTTTTAATCAGATTGGGGGAGCAACAGATAATAAAATTAGGGTCTGTACTGTTATAGTATGTAACAGTAATAAAAACCGTGTGGGGGCATTTTTGGTTAATTTGTCATCGAAAACAGTAATCTAAACCTGGGAGAGCTGCTATATGGGGAGGGAGGAGTGAAGAAATGAAGTGGAGAACAGGCTTGTCCTCGGGTAGGATGTGTCAGCTTAGACTGGCCCTCAACATCTGGATGGCGCAATGGGTAAAGGTGCCATGGAAGACCCCACAAAACGACTCCACGTCATCAGAACAAAGACAAACACAAGCTCTTTTCTGACTTCCTAACATAGAACTGTAACATCTGTAATACAAGTTGATTAAAATACTGCTCAAACAGCACATACGGAAACAATACCTTGTCACTCTCTACAAGTACATACTCCATTTACAATTTGGTTTTTAAACCAGAAAAAACTGTTAAAACATCTGTCCAACAGTGATGTATTCAAAAGTATATACACCTAATAGTCCAAGAGAATGCTCACTCTGGACCCAGTGTCAGCACCAAAGTGCAGTGTGTGTGACTGCAAATCAGGTAAAAATAAAAAATACAGTACTTTCTGAGGCCTAGGACTAGCTCAGGATACACTTTAAAGCATTTGTGGCAGACAGGCGTGTCCTCAAAGGCCTTCCTTTAAGACAGGCACCAAATCACCACTGGTTACACATAAGTGCATTTTGCATCACTGTACAGGGATATAATATTCCCATCAGAAGGTATAGGAAATTTAAATGCTACACAGTCTTACAAAAATTGCTAGAAAATTTTTTTTGCACTTCAACTTTAAAATTTTTAAATGTGCCACTTTCAACATCAATTACAAACTACTTTCTGACTGCATTACTCAACCCTAAGGAAGAACCTGGTTTCAGGGATTGCATCCCTTTCCCAAGACGTGCACTTGATTCAGAAATGCAGCAGCACAACTACTACATGTTAGTTCTCCAGTTATTAGTTGCTAAACTGTTTACGAGCCACTGGGCAGCTAGAAGCCTCGAACCCAAAGGCATTAACTGCTTACCAAAAGAAACTCAGTCCGACAACTGGCCTCAGCGTTGTCTTGTAAGGACAAACAGCTAGAGCAAAGTGCTGGGAAGATTGCTGCTCTGCCAGCGCAGGCAGGTAGTCTTTGAGTGCTTATACAGGTGGCTGGACTGACTAAACCTCTTGCCACACTTCAGGCAGGCGTAGGGCTTTTCACCTGTATGAACACGGATGTGTTTCTTGCAATCTGTCAAAGTCAGAAAAGTTTTGCAGCAGATTTTGCAGGCATACTTGCGAGCTCCCTCTACAACCAAAACATTGTGCTCTGATAAGGCCTTCTTGCACTTTGACAGAACATCTGCAGATGCTCTGGTCAACTGTGGAGGGCCAGGCTGGGAAGGATGGCCATTTTCAAATGAGGATGTAGCTCCATTCATCATTAGCTGGGAACTGGTAGAGTTTTCTGGGATCTGTGAGCTCCTGACAGAAGTTACAACTGGCATTTTGGGAGCTATGCGGCGATAGTATGGAAAGTTACTGGCTCCTCCCCTTGGGGAACCTATCATTACCCTGGAGAAGGAGGAGTGGAGGCCCAAACCAGACCTGGAAAAGTCCATCCCAAACTGTTCTCCTCCTTGGTAGCCTGAAGTCTGCACACACGGCAGGCCCATCACCTCCTGCATAGGTCTGACAAAGTGGGAGTCTGCAGGTTCACTAAATGGGTTCTCTACATGGGAGCCAGGGGCAGAGGAGGGCCCACCTGCAGGCCCAGCCTCTGGACTCAACAAATAGGGGGCCTCACTCTCCAGCCTGCAGTCACTAGTGGTGTTTGGGATATTATCATCATTGTTCTGATTTGCAGTAAAGTTATTTCCTCTGCTCTTGTTAAGAAAATTTGAAATACTAAAAGTGGACTTATGCTCTAGGTTATTTGTGACCTCCAAAATGTGGATATCACCTACCCTGTCTGTGCTAGACTGGGGATCTGAAAAACTCCGATCACTGCTTTCAGGGCTGAGGTCTATCTTCTCGGCACTGACCACAACTCCTTCCACTTCTACAGACTCGCTGCCTTCTGCTTGTGAGGTCACATCGCTCACTTCATCCTGAGGCTCAGGCGAGCTCAGGGGCTCAGATTTAACCACCACTCTCATGTGCTCCTTCTCACCAAGGCCAACCTCAGGATTTTCACACTGAAAACTACTTTTCTCAGTTGCAGCTTCCTGATCAAAACTAGTCTCAACCTGAGTTGCCCGAGAGGCCATGGACAACTGTGCCATGTTGCCAGCACTGTTATCAGACTGGCTGGGCACCTGGGCATCTTCTTGAGTGCCAAAAGACTGATCAAACATGATCGCACTGTCTTCCTGGTTATCAGTCATTCCATCAGCTTTAGGATTATCCACAATTTTCAGAGAATCTGGTGAAAAGAACTCCTCCCGAGAATGAACCCCTGAAGGCCCATTCTCAGGTGTAACATCTGAAATGGCAGACTCATCCATGGAGGGTCGGAGGCGCTGCCTGGCCCGCTCTTCTGCAGACTGCTTGCGCTTATGAAGGCGTCTCATGGGGAAGGGCGTGCGCTGATCCAGGTTATTGCGCATGGAAGAGCTCATGGGGGCTGGCTGCTCCTCGCCATTCTGGCTGGAATTGAGGGCTGAGCTCACAATACTTAG